TCAAATTCATTTCATATGTAATTGGAGTTTGAATTTAAATTTCAATTTGAGTTTGAATTTGAATTTGAATTTGAGTTTGAATTTGAATTTCAATATAAATTTCGGCTCCACTATAGCCCAAGCCAATATGCATGTTATCATTGATTATTCTTAATTTCCATTGTTTTTTTTTCAACTTTAAAAGCGAGGGAAATCCTGACCATCGTATTTTTTGGTCAACTTTAAAGCGTCAGAAATGTTTCGGGCGTATGATCTGGGTTGTATACGAGAAATGCAACAAATGACAACTAAAATCCCGATAATTGAGGGCTATAACTTGTAATAATAACAAAAATAATAGTCCGAAATGCTTCTGAGTACCACCCAAATCATAAGTCCGAAATGCTTCCGATGCTCATCAAAATCCAAAGCTCATATGGTGCCAAGAAAAAGGAAATCAAAATCCAAATCTCATATGGTACCAAGCAAAAGGAAATCAAAATCTACAACTTGAGTTTGAACATTGATATGATCTGTTCAGTTGTTATCATGTTGGGATTTTCTCTTGTGTTTGATTTTTTGGATAGTTGTTCTTTTGCTTCTTCAAGTGTCCTTAGCTTGTATTTATAGCTTGGAATGTGTTTGATGTTGTATATACCTTGATGTTGTATGTTGCGATCAACGCGAAAGTTAAATTCGCAACGCGAAATAAGCATTGCGATAGTTAAATTCGAAACGCGAAAGTCAAATTCGCAAACCGAAAATCACGTTGCGAATTTGACTTTCACGTTACGAATTTGTACCTTCAACATGTCTTTTTTTCCTTCAAACATAATGAGCTTGAATTTTTTAGAAACAACAAATCAACTTTTACAAATCAATTAAACAAGCAAAAAAAATAATTCTTATTTACAAATCAAATTAAACAAATCAACTTTTACAAATCATCTTTTACAAATCAATTAATCAAAAATAAATCTTATTTCCTCATCAATTGACAAATCAACTTTCAATATAAAATTCAATTAAACAAAGAAAAAAAGTGTACCTCAGACTGTTGTTTATGCACAAATACATTTCACGCAGCTCACTTCAGGATTAACTTGCAGAAACCAAACATTTGCTCAAACAACACTTTTTATACATCTAAAACCAACAAACAACAAATTACTGAATTCTAGGTACTTAACCAAATAGTTTCAAACCAATTAAATAGTACATATAACAACACTTGCTCAAACTTACCAATTGTTTATGTACAACTTTCAGCACGCGGATGCAGGTAGACAGCGTCTCGCATATATCGATCTGGCCATATAATGCCGAAACCACAAGCCTACTGCAGCTCTATCTGTGGGAGGTAGATACTGTATACTTCATGTCGTCAAACGTTCCAAGCACAAGCATACGAGAGGACCACAATCCCCTCTAGCTCCCTGCGATTGTTGTGGCGCAGTCTCGTCTCTGATCATTGTAATTTTGAACTTCTTTGGCTTCTTGTTTCCAGAATTTGTCCAATAATTAAGCGCATTCAAGTATTTAGCCAAATGATCGCTCCATCTATTTGTAATAATATCTCTCAAATTAGACAATGGTATGTAATTCAACATGTTGTCATATACCATTGTCTTCAGGGATGGGAGCTGAAGCTCGACGAGAAGCCAATGACGAAAAACCCGACGTAAAACATCTACCTTATTGGGCCACTGAAAATAAATTAATATAAACCAGTAAATAAATTAATAAATAATGCCGAAAAAAATTTATTTGCATTTTTAGTATAGTATTAAACAAATTTACCTCATTGCGTAGAGTATTAACCTCATTCTGCAACAATGAAACAATCTCGCGTAGAGCGGCAACCTCATCACGTAAGGTAGACACCTCACTGCGTAGCGCACCATTGTCATCGCGTAAAAAATCCACCTCACCACGTAAAGATCGAACCTCATAACGTCATGCACCATTATCTTCACGTAAAGTACAGACCTCATGACGCAAAGCACCGACCTCATCACGTAATTCCCCTACCTCATCCTGTGGAGGTGGAAAACATGGAGATAAATGTCGTGGCCTCTTTGCCGGTCGCCTATCATGAGGTGATGGTGGAGAAGAGGCTCGATGATGTGATGGAATAGGCGATGGTGGAGGTGGAGAAGAGGCTCGATCAAGTGATGGCTCCGGGTATCGAGCTGTAGAATCGACCCGATCATGTGATGGCTCTCGAGGTGGGGAGTGCTCATCATCCGTCCAATCAAAAAATCGCTTACTAGCTTGCCACCAATCAGTGACAAGCTCAGCCTCTGTGAGTGTCAGCCTCTGTAATGGATAGTTGGCCACCTAACAATATAAAAGCTCAAACAAAGTTAAACTTGTACTAGTAATAACTTGTTTATATGGTATTATTTGTGTGTTAACTTACATCATTCATCGTCGTATATGGGAGTAACTCTTCCCAATCCAACATGCGGATCCTCATCCAGGTAATAGCCATAGGAATATTATTTGATCTTTTTATCGTATATGTCAGCAAGCTGAGGAAAGCCTCAAATATCCAAATCTACAAACAATATAATACACAAACATTAGTAATTGTTAAATAATTAATTATAATTTTGGAAACATTATAATATATAAATTCTTACCTTAAAGGCCCAAGTAAAGCCTGTCAAAGTGTATTTAGAACCATCGCCCCGCAAATTTTTTCGATCCTCAAAGGCAGACGACAACTTCTTTCAGGTAGCTTTCCATAGATATGAACCCCACGGAAATAGGTTCCATGCATTTAGGTCCTCTACCAATAATATTAAGTCCTCAGAGATTAGTTGTCTGCCCTCTTTGCCTAAAAAGCCGAAATGAAAAAGTAATAAATGGCATACTCAGACAACATCAAGGTCATCCATCCGAGTAAACCATCTTTATCAATAATCTCTTCAAGTCGTCGATGTGTATAATCGGCTTCGACTTTGTCAGCTCAGGAAAAACCCGATATAACCATGATGGGCGGGCGATATGACTAGTGTACCGACCTACATCATCATGTCCGAAGCGTAGACCGGTGATTAAGCAAAACTCCTCCCACCCAAAACAAGTATACGCCGGTGCCGGAGGAAAATGAAACCATATCTCCTCATCACCACGTTGTACCCTCTCTGGTAGATCGTTAGTCATGGTCTGAAGAAACAAATGTGTCAACATAGCATCTCCACCCGTATGTTGCACTTTCAGCCATGGCCCGAAGCAAGTGTCCTCAAACAATTTTCTTTGTAGAGGTGTAAGCGTCGACGCAATTTTAGTGGCTACGCTTAATTTATTCCTTAAGGTCAATGCAGGCGAAAAAAATTTCTACAGAAACAATAAACATACCAAGTTAGATATACTAAAAACTACAAATTATACACTATAAACAAACATGATATTAAACAGTGAAAACAAAGCCAAATATGTTTCAAACTAGCACGATATTCACCCAAATCATTATTCCATCATAGTTCACAAAATGCATCAGATAACATTCCAGAAGTAAGCACTTATATAAACATTTAAAATGACAACATATAGGTTTAGTGCAGGTTCAAGGACAACATAAAGAGTAGTAGTTTATTCTTGAAACTTAAATTAGCAATACTGTGAAGTTAATATTTGTCTTTTTTTGGTTGAAGTAATGCAATTCATTCAAGTTTCAATTTGCAGAATAAAAGAAGTTTCTGAAACTTAAATTCGCAACGCGAAAATGAAAATCGCAACGCGATTTTAGTTTCGCGTTGCGATTTTCATTTTCGCGTTGCGAATTTGGTGTTGCGATTTAGGGTTACTTCAACAAAAAGACAAACAAAAAGACAAAACAAAGACAAATACTAACTTCACATGGTTAAAGACTAACAGTTTAGCAGTATTGGCAGCAACCGAATGAATTTAACAATCTCAGTTAAATGGTTAATCTAATAATAATACAAAAATTTCAAAATAAAATAATTAAAAAACTAACCCTCGATGGTTGATTTTCTATTTCTGACCGTGAATGGTTGTGAGGGTTGCTCTGAGAGATGGAGATAGACGGATTTCGTCGGAAATGGGGACAGATTTCGTCAGAGATGGGGACGGATGTCGCCGTAGAGAGTGAGAGATGGAAATGGGATTGAGTTGTGCTTTAGGGTTTTAAGTTAGAGATGATTTGCGATAATACTGTTTACATTTGTGTTGTGAAATTAATATTGTGTTTCGCGTAAAAACATTTGACTATCGCGTTGCGAATTTGACTATCGCGTTGCGAATTTGACTATCGCGTTGCGAATTTGACTATCGCATTGCGAATTTGACTATCGCGTTACGAATTTGACTTCTGTGTTTCGATTTACAAATTCGCTTTCGCGTTGCGAATTTGACTATCGCGTTGCGAATTTGGAAACTGAGTTGCGAAATTGGAATTCGCGTTGCGAATTTGAGATCGCTTTGCGAATTTATTGGTCATTTTGGCAAATCCAAAAAAGTTGGTTAAATTCGTATATTATAAGGCAATTTTGGTCACTGAGGTTATTTTCTCTTTTTTAAATCTGTATAGATTGTTTTGATTTCTAATGAATGTCTTTGCTAATGCCAATTGTAGATGTTGGTGGATGTATTTCTGGGAAACTATATGTTTCTATGTTCTTTTTTCCTTGCAATCAAGAGCTTGATTAAGATATCAGCTCGATTCTCCAGGTAAATATTTATATTTTTTTAGTGGGCAACTATGAGACAAGGTACTCATTTCAGTATTTATTTGTATGGTTATCATGGACTAACTATTTATTGCATGGATTAATGTTTTGCTCTAAACGTCACAGTTTCAGAGATCTGCTGCCTGCAATTCTAATTTCAAGATTCTTCTCATTGCGATGATGGTTTGCTTTCTAATGCCACTTGGCCTCTGGACTAGAATGACATCTTATTTCTAGAAATCATAACACTTTTCTATCTTCATCCTTCATGATCATACATCCAACTCCAGTTTTGCATTCTGCAGGTCTGGGAGTTTCTTCCTGCAGTGATTTACATCATTGATTTATTTGTTTTCTCATCTATTACAGTGGCTCTAAAAGGTCAGATAATCTATACTTTGCAGTTTTTCACATGCTAGATAATCAACATTCGTGTTTATATTCATTCTTCATAGTTGTGACAGCTGTTTCCTATTACTATGTCAACTGTATGAGCCTCGAATGTGGTCAAGTAGGGTGTTTTCCCGTTGGATTGAAGATTAATATGCCTCTAGTGGAACTTGGAATTTATAAGATATTTAGTAATTGTTACAACTGACCCTAGCTGAAGGGATGGGGAGGGGGAGTGGATGAGGATATTATGAATGAAATTATAGATTCTATCCATGCAAGATGTTATCAGTTGTGTTGATTATCATGTTTATGTTATGATTTCAGTGGCACTTTGGTACCTGAGATCTCAACTATTTTACTGAATTATTTTATTTTCTACTTGAACTTTAACAAACTCCATCACGTTTGTCAGAAACTGATGAAATGTTTCTTTCTTGTGAACTAGTGATAACCAAGTCAACTATGAATCGATGTATAGGGGCCTGCTTCATCGCACATGTTGTAAAATTTTGTATAACACAGGTTTTTAGTTAAGACATTGAGATAGTTTGAATATTTTTTTGATTGTTCACACGATATTCAAACTAAAAATAGTGTTCATTCAATTTTCTGTTATGTTTAATCTCAATTATCCATAAACGCATCCATGCTACATATTCATATTCTCCTTCATACCTTGTCCTCTCATACTTATATTATAGCATAGATGCCCTGTTACACTAAGCTCACGTTGATATCCCTAATTTCTCATTAATTCTATCAATATTGTTAAGGCAAGGGCAGGACTAGACAATGCCCCTCAACCGTTTCAGGTGAGATCCATTTGATTAGTAAAAAGACTGGTGCCTAGGCACGCTGTTTTTTTTGCAAGGAAATCACGCAAATTGATATTATTGATTATTGACTGATAAAAAGGATTGTTTGTTTTGTAGATAAACTAGACTAGACCATACAATAGCCATATACACATATAGACACCATGTTACCCTCACACATACATATGGCAGTTCACACAGGCTAATGCCTTTTTTGTGCATTGTGCTAAAGGCAATATAAGGGTTCTAAGACATTACTTTAAATTCTGAAGTACATTTCCTTCACTCTGGCTGATTTTCTTGAATGGTAAAATCAACCACTTATCCACACACACATATAAAGGGTTCTAGTGCCTAGAGTGCGCCATGCCTAAATTCTTTGTTCATCATCATTAACACAAAGGAAGATAATTTAAAGAAGTTTGGTATTTTTGATTTAGGCATCTAACCTCTGGAATTGCAATGTCTGTACAGTGTTTTTCTAAGTTAGAAGGAAAACAAAGAATTGATTGCCCTTCTTCACATCTTGAAACATATACCTTCCCCCATTTTTTCTTCGGTTTAACTACAAAAAATTAAATGAGAAAGAAAACTTATCATACTAAGGAAATCAAAAACAATATAAGACTTGTAATTTAAGAAAACAATTCCATGGAAACCAAGGAATATAGAACATACTTGGTTTGGAAGATTAAGAGTGAGCTCAAGCTCATGCATGAGCCATGGGGTCTTATTTTCTTTTTTGTTTTTATCACTAACCCGACCTTAGTAGAAAACCATGGTCTGTCCGGTTCCAGTGATCTTTGAAAAGAGGACGAATATTAGAAGAAGAGTGAGGCAGTAGGAAATGAGAATATTAGAAGAGAAAATAACCTCAGTGACCGAAAATGCCTTATAATATACGATTTTAACCAACTTTTTTTGGATTTGCCAAAATGACCAACAAATTCGCAACGCGAACTCTAATTTCGCAACTCAGTTTCCAATTTCGCAACGTGAATATGTAAATCGCATTGCGATTTTCCAAATTCGCAACGCGAATCTGTAAATCGCAACGCGAATGTGTAAATCGCAACACAGAAGTCAAATTCGCAACGCGATAGTCAAATTCGCAACACAAAAGTCAAATTTGCAATGCAGAATTTCAAATTCGCAACTGAATTTCAAATTCGCAACTAGATTTTCGAATTCGCAACAGTTTTTAGTTTCGCAACACAAATGTTTTGGGTATATAACAACGCAACAACAATAACTCATAAGCTAAATCCCTAAATCGTAACTCATTCCATCTCCATCTATCACTCTCTCCGGCGACATCCGTTCCTATATCCAACGACATCCTTCCCCATCTCTAATTTTGTTTACATAATTTTATTTCTATATAATTTTTCAATGATTTCTCTCCCAAATTATCAACTATCACTTAATAAAGGTATGTTTTCTAGAAGTTAGTGATGATATCTAGTTTATAACTCGTTTGTTTAGTAAATTAATTTACAATTTGTAGAATGAAATCATCTAATGTTGATCATGTTTGGATAGATTTGTGTTTTGGAGGGTCATGGGAGAATGTTCATGGTGTTTTACAATATGTGCCTTTACCCATGAATCTTCAACTAAAACTGTCATTAAAAAGTTAACTTATGAAACTCTAATGTTACGTGTTGCAAAGAAATTGAATTTAGAGCCTCTAAGTGGATTTAGGCTATCTTATCAGAGAAAAGATAAATTTTATTTGTTAACCGACAATGAAGATGTTGAACGATTCATTGCTTACATTAGTGTTTCGTAAGAAGATGATGTTACATTGTATGTTGTTGAACCTAGAAGTAGTGAAGTTGGGTCAGTAGCGGTAGTAATCAAATAAGTTCTTCAACCCCAGTTTATAGTGCTCACAATGTACAACGTTGTTATCAACCTCAAAATTTAATGGTTCCACCATAATTTCATCACCAAGAAAATTTGTTTCACCACATTTCCAATACCAAACACAATATCAAACACAATCTCAAACTCACAATCTTTTCCTAATCCAAATCCCAATCAACTTTCAGCACCAAATTCCGATTTTCGTATTGATCAGTTAGATGATTATGAGCCAACAGAAAAAATTGTGAGTACTAGTCAGTATTCGAACTTTGATCTTGGTCAATACTCGGACTTTGATCTTGGTCAATACTCAGATTTTGATGATATGATGGAAGAAGAAACAGACCCTGCATGTAATGATTTTGATATTGGTCAATACCCGAATTTTGATGATGAAACAGCCGCTGCAGAGGAAGATGTTGTTGATGATAATGAGGAGGAAGTTACGACTGTGAATGAACATGTTGAACATCCATTCTGTAATTCATATAACCCTGAAGAAGATAAAGAAGAAGAAGAAGTCCCCGAAGAAATAAAAAAGAAGAAAATACCACGGGAGTATAACTGGAATATGCCAGAATTACTTCAGATACCGGAAGAAGAGTTGGTAAAGATAATAGTTGATTGTTACACAAAAGTTATTCGTATCAAGAAAGATGATTGTTTTGATACAAAGGAAGACTTGGAGATAACTTTGTATACAAAATGTGTGGAATATGGCTATCAACTAAAAGTTAACAAATCAAGCAAAGATCGTTTCGAAAAAAAGTGTATGATTGACAAAAACTGTACGTGGCGTATGATTGCAAAGAGGATAAAAGATTGCAAAATGTTTCAAGTTAGGACTTTTATTGATAAACATACATGTTCAAGAACCCAAGTTTTTCCTCACCATAGACAGACAAACAAAAAGGTGTTGGGTGGTTTTCTGGCTGAGTTAATGTTTTTAAATGGAAGGGTATATCGGGGACATGAAATTATGACTGACATAAATGCTCGGTTCAAGATTAGTATCTCATATTCTCAAGCTTGGAGAGCCAAATGTTATGCCTTGGAATTGTTGAGGGGGTCGCCAGAAGCATCGTTTGCCCAACTGCCAGCTTATTATCACAATTTAAAGCTGAAAATCCTGGGTCGATAACTCATATCAAAACAGATAGAGATGGACGCTTTGAGTTGTTGTTTATCTCCATTGGTGCTGCGGTTAGTAAGTAATTATAATTTTGTTGACTCATTTTTGTTAGTTGCATGCATTTCACATTTAAATGATTATATTTCTTGTATATATGATTTTGTAGATTCGTTCGTTTATTACTTGCATGCGCCCAATTATTATAGTTGATGGAGCACATTTGAAAGGTCGATACCTTGGAGTAAACTTATTAGTAGTAGCCATGGATGCTAACAATGGGATACTACCAATAGCTTACGGGGTTGGCAAATCTGAAACCTTTGATTCATGGACATGATTTATGGGGCATCTTAGGGATTACATAGGTCTTATTAGCAATCTGACAATCATATCCGATAGGGCAAACTCAATTGACAACGCTGTTAGAAGGTGTTTCCCAGATACTTTTCATGGACTTTGTGGTGTTCATTTGTACAGAAATCTAAAATCAAGGTCTGATGGTATAAAAAATCACAAATGGACATATTGGAATGCTGTAAAAGCTTATCGAGAAGTGGATTTTAATAAGCATATAAATTGTTTAAGACGTGTTTTGCCTCAATGTGCTCAAACACTAGAAGATATCTGGTTTGAAATATGATCAAGAGTACATCAACTTGGAGCAAGATATGGTTTCATGACGTCTAATAATGCAGAATCATTCAACGCTCTAAGTCGTCATTCTCGGAAATTACCCATTACTATGTTAATGAAGTTTTTTCGAGCCTCTATTTAACAGTGGTACTACAAGAAAAGAAACTATGCAGGTATTATTTCTTTAAATTCGTAACTTATCATATATTTTACTAAGTATTATTTATTTAAATTTACAGGAACATTGGAACGTCGTGTTACACCATGGACTGAAAAAAAGATAAGGAAACGTGTTGTGAAGTCAACGTCCTGGAGAGTTGAACAATGTTCAAACACTTTGTTTGAAGTATTGGATAATAACTTAAATGGGCTTGTCGATCTAAATGCAAAGACGTGTAGTTGTAAGAAATGGCAAACATCTGGTAATCCGTGTTGCCATATTATAAAAGTTGCTCTTCATCTAAACCAAGATGATTCAAGCGCATACACTATGGATTACTACACTACAGAAGTATATCGATAGACTTATGCCGAGATTGTCTACCCATGTCCACATCCTTCTGAGTGGGACATACCAGATGACTTACAAACAATTTTGCCACCAGTCATGGAAAGCAGGCTACCTGGCCGACCAAAAAATCACGAGCGTATACCGTCTAAGGGTGAAGAGAAGAGTATATCGACATGTAGTTGGTGCAAGGAAAGTGGTCATACAAGGTTGACATGTGGATCACCAGTGCCATCACAATCATCTTTTCCTCTACCAAAAAATGGATCCTCATCAAAATCCAAAGCTCATATGGTGCCAAGCAAAAGGAAATCAAAATCGCAATCAAAATCCCAATCACAATTGGGTTCACCTTTTGGGACTTATTAACTTAGGTGATTTTTAAATGCAAACGTTGTATTATGTGTATTTTATGTGTGAATGCATACATTTTCAGTTAGACATTCATTAGTAACTTGAGTTTGAACATTGTTATGATCTGTTCAGTTGTTATCATGTTGGGATTTTCTCTTGTGTTGATTGCTTGGATAGTTGTTCTCTTGCTTCTTCAAGTGTCATTAGCTTGTATTTATAGCTTGGAATGTGTTTGATGTTGTATATAACTTGATTTTGTATGTTGCGATCAACGTGAAAGTCAAATTCGCAACGTGAAAGTAAAATTTGCAACGTGAAATCGCAAACCGAAAATCGCAACGCGAATTTGCCTTTCGCGTTGCGAATTTGACTATCGCAACGCTTATTTCGCGTTGCGAATTTGACTTTCGCGTTGCGAATTTGTACCTTCAACAGGTCTTTTTTTCCTTCAACATAACGCAGATTGAATTTAAAACAACAAATCAACTTTTACAAATCAACTTTTACAAATCAATTAAACAAGCAAAAAATAATTCTTATTTCCTCATCAATTAAACAAATCAACTTTCAATGTAAAATTCAATTAAACAAGCAAAAAAGTGTATCCCAAACTGTTGTTGATGCACAAATACATCAATTTCACGCAGCTCACGTCAGGAATAACCTGCAGAAACCAAACATTTGCTCAAACAACACTTTCTACACATCTAAAACCAACAAACAGTAAATTATTGAATTCTAGGTACTTAACCAAATATTTTCAAACCAACAAAGAGTATATATGTTAACAACACTTGCTCAAACTTACCAATTGTTTATGCAAACTTTCAGCACGCGGATGCAGGTAGGTAACGTCTCGCATATATCGCTCGAGCCATAAAATGTCGAAACCATAAGCCTACTGCACATCTATCTCTATCTGTGGGAGGTAGAAGGTGTTTACTTCCTGTCGTCAAACGCTCCAAGCACATGCATACAAGAGGACCACAATCCCCTCTGGCTCATTCCGTTTGTTGTGGCGCGGTATCATCTCTGATCATTGTAACTTTGAACTTTTTTGGCTTCTTGTTTCCAGAATTAGTCCAATAATCAATCGCGTCCAAGTATTTCGCCAAATGAGCGCTCCATCCCTTACAAATAATATCTCTCAAATCAGACAATGGTATGTAATTCAACATGCTGTCATATACCATTGTCTCAGGGATGGGAGCTGAAGCTCGACGAGAAGCCAATGACGATGTTTCAAAATAGGGATAAACACCTGCAATCATAAATAATTGCCTAAAAAGCCGGCATGCAAAAGTAATAAATGGCATACTCGGACAACATCAAGGTCATCCATCCGAGTAAAACCATCTTTAACAAATAATCTCTTCAAGTCGTCGACGTGTAAACTCGGCTTCGACTTTGCCAGCTCAGGAAAAACCCGAGATAACCATGATGGGCGGGAGATATGACTAGTGTACCGGGTTACTTCATCGTGTCCGAAGCGTAGACCAGTGATTAAGCAAAACTCCTCCTGCCCAAAACAAGTATACGCCGGTGCCGGAGGAAAATGAAACCATATCTCTTCATCACCACGTTGTATCCTCTCGGGTAGATCGTTAGTCATGGTCTGAAGAAATAAATGTGTCAACATAGCATCTCCACCGTATGTTGTACTTTCAGCCATGGCTCGAAGCAAGTATCTTCAAACAATTTTCTTTGTAGAGGTGTAAGCGTCGACGCAATTTTAGTGGCTAGGCTTAATTTATTCCTTAAGGTTAATGCAGCCGAAAAAAAATTCTACAAAAACAATAAACATACCAAGTTAGGTATACCAAAACTACAAATTATACACTATAAACAGACATGATATTAAACAGTGAAAACAAAGCCAAATATGTTTCAAACTAGCACGGTATTCACATGCTATCATTATTCCATCATAGTTCACAAAATGCATCAAATAACATTCCAGAAGTAAGCACTTATATAAACATTTAAAAGGACAACATATAGGTTTAGTGCAAGTTCAAGGACAACATAAAGAGTAGTAGTTTATTCTTGAAACTTAAATTAGCAACACTGTGAAATTAGTATTTGTCTTGTTTTGTCTTTTTGTTGAAGTACTGCAATTTATTCAAGTTTCAATTTGCAGAATAAGAGTAGTTTCTTATACTTAAATTCGCAACGCGAAAATGAAAATAGCAACGCGAAACTAAAATCGCGTTGCGATTTTCATTTTCGTGTTGCGATTTTCATTTTCTTGTTGCGAATTTAAGTTTCAAAAACTATTCTTCTGCAAATTGAAACTTGAATGAATTGCATTTCTTCAACAAAAAGACAAAAGAAAGACAAATACTAACTTCACAGGGTTAAAGACTAAACAATTTAGCAGTATTGGTAGCAACCGAATGAATTTACTAAGCAATCTCAGTGAAATGGTTAATCTTATATATATTGAATTACTAGTAAATTTATCATCAATATAAGAAAAATCTAATAATAATACAAAAATTTCAAAATAAAAATAAGAGATTAAAAAACTAACCCTTGGTGGTTGATTTTTCATTTCTGACCGTGAATGGTTGTGAGGGTTGCTCTGAGAGATGGAGATAGACGGATTTCGCCGGAGATGGGGACGGATTTCGTCGGAGATGGGGACGGATTTTGTCGGAGATGGGGACGGATGTCGTCGTAGAGAGTGAGAGATGGAGATGGGACTGAGTTGTGATTTAGGGTTTTAGGTTATGATTTGCGATAATACTGTTTACATTTGTGTTGCGAAATTAATATTGTGTTTCGCGTTGCGAATTTGACTATCGTGTTGCGAATTTGACTTTTGTGTTGCGAATTTGAAATTCAGTGTTGCGAATTTGACTTTTGTGTTACGATTTACAAATTCGCGTTGCGATTTACAGATTCGCGTTGCGAATTTGGAAAATCGCAACGCGATTTACATATTCGCGTTGCGAAATTAGAAACTGGGTTACGAAATTGGAGTTCGCGTTGTGAATTTGTTGGTCATTTTGGCAAATCCAAAAAAAGTTAGTTAAAATAATATATTATAAGACATTTTCGATCACTGAGGTTATTTCTCATATTAGAATACCTTGCGTTGTAAGTTTTTTCTTGTGGAAAAAGGCAGAATCTTGAGTTCCTGACCCCACTTAAACCGCGTCAATCTTTTGTTCAGTAATAAGGAGAGGTCAATGAATATGGTGTTTGAAGCTCTGAATATGAGTTGAGAGTTGAGGTATTTGGAAACTGTTTTTGATCCTTCCTTTTCATCTGTTTCTGCCCCTCCTTTTCCAAGTTTGTTATGCTCCCCACTAACTATTCCACCCATCATAATCAATTTATTACTAGTCGTATTGAAAAAAACAATATATATTCATGCATATAATATGCTTTTGTTTTTCAAATTATATATGATAGTTTGCACCATGTATATGAGAAAAGCTTGGGATGTAGTGATTTTCGAATGAAGATTATTAAAAATTATTATTAATTCTCCTCCATAAAAAAATAAGTCATTAATTAACTTGCAACCTTCTTGATAAATTCATACCGAATACAACAAAAACTAAAGTATATAAAATACGAATTCACATAAGTTAAAAGATTCACTCATAAATGACTTCATATTACATATATTCTAATTCAGAAATCCCGTATCAAGGACATTATAGAAATCTACATCGAATCACATATATTCAAATGCACACAAGTTATATCATATACAAGCAAACTAGTTCAAATCCAAATAACAATCTTCTTTAACTCCTCCTAAAGACCCCCAATATTACAAAAGGGAGGGGGAGAGGGTTCTTTCTGTGCTGCTGGGAATTCATGCCCACAACTGTTTCCCTGTACCTGAATCAGAAATGGAATTAAACATCAGTGTTTACTTTTTTAAAATGTTTTTTTTTGCAAAGGAGTTTCTTACAAATCCATTTGCTTCCCCAAGTTCTTCTAGTTTTCCGAAGATTTGATCCATTGATGGCCCAGCCAAATTTGATAAATCCTATATCATAATAAAGAATGATTAGTTCTACATATTGATTACCAATGACTAAGCAGTTAGAGATGTTATGGCTAGCCATATCTTACTATCTGAACTGAATCTTCAGCAGTATCAGTTCTGGAATTAGATGGCATGGTAGATCCATCATATTGATTGCTTCTTTCAGTAGCAGACACTACGTTCCCTAAGTTTCTGCCTTGTTCATTGGTGCTAGATTGATCTTGAAGTTCCTCATGTTCGGTTCGTGATAATAATTCAGCTATGTATTGTATCCCATTGAGGAAAAATTCATTAAAATCTGATCCTTCCTGAATCATAGAAAGAGAACGAAGAAAGAAAGAAAAAGGGTAAAACCCACAGCTTAGTTATTGCACCATTCATCACCACATAATGTTGATTGAAAATTTCTCACAAGACTTACTGTTGGAATGGAATCCACTGGAACGTGATTTTCAAAAGCCAAGCTAGAGCCCTCTTCAGGAAATAAAGTATTCTGTTGATTGTCATCTCCATTTGAGTTGGTTGGATCATTAGCATAGACAACTGAACTCCATGATGAATTATCATGATCACTGATCCCAACTTGATTCATAGCTGGAACACAGTCATTAGGTGCCTTTAGCTTTTGGTTTATCAACTCCCCAAAGCCTTCCTGGTTCTGAATCATAAACCAAATTTTGTTTTAGATGCACTTTTTGTGAAATTTATTTTATTAGAAAACAATAAAGAAATCGCCTATCTTACCTTTTGAATATCAGTATTGGCATTATAAATTTGAGAGTCAGAATATAGCAGGAAGTCTTCTTTCTTATAAGGAAAGGTTGGTTGATTGCTGTAGAACTCATCATTCTTAATAAGTGTATCCACAAATTCATCTATAGTCTGTTCATTGTTGACTAATTCAGATTGAATTCCACTGTTTTCAGAGAATGATACTGGCTCTTTTAATGGCTCTTTCGAGTTTAACTGGCCCTGAATCAAAGAGAAATAGGTCATAACCTTTTGATAATGTTCATCATCATTAACGTAAAGGAAGATAATATAAAGAAGTTTGGTATTTTGATTTAGCCATCTAACCTCTGGGATTGCATTGTTTGTACAGTGGCTTTCTAAGGGCAAACACAGATTTGATTGCCCTTCTTCACCTCTTGAAACATCTACCTTCCCCGCTTTTTTCTTCAATTTACAAAGAGTTAAACTTTTCTACAAAAAAATTAAAAGAAAATTTATCATACTAACAGATCCAGGGAAATCAAAAACAATACATGCCTTGTAATTTAAGAAAAAAAATCCCATGGAAATCAAGGAATATAGAACATACTTGGTTTGGAAGATTAAGAGTGAGCTCAAGCTCATGCATGAGCCATGGGGTCTTATTTTCTTTTTTGTTTTTATCACCAACCCGACCTTTGTAGAAAACCATGGTCTGTTTGGTTCCAGAAATCTTTTTTCCGTCGAATGTTGTCACTATTTGACGGGGTTTTCCCGTTGGATTCCAGTAACCTTTCTTGGTTACTCTGTTTTTTCGTTTACTATTACGGTACCTGTATCTTGGTGTGCAAAAGAAAAACCAGACGTGGTCACCTGACTGTAACTCTGACCACCCTGCAAAAAAGAAAAAGAAACAACTTACAAAGTGGGCATCCCAAAAACTAGGACATGCAACAAGTAGCTTTACCAGGCAATTCTTCAGGTTCGAATTTGCAGATGTCTTCTAATTGGGTTATGAGTGGAACGCGTGCATCACCAACTTGGACAAACGAATCACGGTCGAGTACCTGTTTTTCCCATAGATGTTCCATGGCTTCTTCATCTGTTGGGTGGAATCTAAATCCCTTAACATGCTTCATGTTCATCCAAAGTAGCTCAGCTGGAATGAAGCAACAAGATAAAAGAAAATTGAAAGCCAAAGTTTGATATTTTGTGAAGATACTCTGCCCCCACTGCTTGAACTGCTGAGTATAATGCAAGGAAACAACAAAACATAACTTGGTGTTTCATGCTAGGTTAAATTGGGTGACCAATTACTCAAAAGTTAAATAAATGGAATAATCAAATTGCAACCAATGAGAATATTAGAATAGCTTGCGTTGCAAGTTTTTTGCTTGTGGAAAAATGCAGCATCCTTGAGTTATTGACCCCACTCAAACCGCGTCAATCTTTTGATCAGTTATAAAGAGACGAAAAGAGAGCCAAATGAAGATGATGTTTGAAGCTCTGAATACGAGTTGAGGTATTTGGAAACTGCTTTTGATCCTTCCTTTTCCACTGTTTTTGGTCCACTCCTTTTCCAAGTTTGTTATGCTCCCCACTAACTATTCCACCCATCATAATCAATTTATTACTATTATTTGTTGAAGGTACTCTTTGTGAGACTGACAAGTGTCGTTCTATTCATAAAAATTAATAAGTCTCTTTAAATAAAATAGAATAAAATAGTATAGTAAAGAGAGTCGAGCTAAAGGGAATTTGAAATTCCTAATCCAATTGTGTGTCGATTTTAGTCTAATAAGTCGAAATAAATAAAAAACAAAAAACAGAGGTAGGAGGCATCTAGCAGCCTCTGCCTCATTTGCATTATTTTCAAAATAATTCCCCAAGTTAGGGGTGAATTTCCCGAAAAATTACCATAACCTTTTTTTTATTCTCTGTTAGGTATCGTTTAGATTTTATTTCCTTATCTAACACCATTCGCAGAAATACGCGTTTAAGGAGGCGCGCCTTATGTTGATCTGGCGCCACGTGAGGTAAGGCGACCCCAGAAGTGCGCCTTGTGAAATGTATAAAAAACTCGGTGCTAATTTTGTAAATACTTTTAAAATGATGCATAATATGTAATTAATTTCGTTAGGATGATATTTGTGTAAAAACGTCAACGTGTGAAAAAAAACTTTCTACATTAATATCTTTAAATATTTTTTTACAAATTATTTTATAACTCGATAAATTTTGATTTTTGCATGAAATTAAACAATACGTATAATCTAGTATAGGAAACTTTGAGGATAAATATTTTAAAATATGAATAATTTTATAAAAGTTTTATAATTAGTATTTCTTTTTCAAAATGATGATGATGATGATAAAAAATAATTTATAATTTAAAAAATTATAAATTATATATATTTTTGAATTTTTTTGACTTTATATTCTTTTTGTATTGAATTTTATTAACTTTTAATTCTTTTTTTATTGCATTTTTATACTTTTAATTACAATTGATAGATTAAATGAATTATTATTCATTTTTTTTTTAAAATCAATAAAAATGCAATAAAAAAGAATTAAAAGTGAATAAAATTCAATTAAAACGTCAACTTTATTGATTTATTTTTTGTGTAATATTATTTTTTAACAGTTAATAATATTTATTGACTTTTAATATTAACTGTTTAAAAATATAAAAATATAAAAATAAACTTTTAATTATAATTGATAGATCAAATGAATTATTATTCATTTTTTTTTAAAAATCAATAAAAATACAATAAAAAAGAATTAAAAGTGAATAAAATTCAATACAAAAAGAATATAAAGTCAATTTTTTTTCAAAATTATATAAAATTTATAATTTTTTAAATTATAAAATATTTATTATCATCATCATCATCATCATTTTGAAAAAGAAATACTAGTTATAAATTTTTTATAGAATTATTCATATTTTAAAATACTTACCCTCAAAGTTTTCCTATACTAGATTATACGTATTGTGTAATTTCATGCAAAAATCAAAATTTGTCGAGTTATAAAATAATTTGCAAAAGAATATTTAAAGATTTTAATGTAGAAAGTTTTTTTTCACACAAAAAAAAATAAATAAATAAAGTTGACGTTTTACTCAAATATCACCCTAACAAAAATTAATTACATAGTAGGCACAATTTAAAAAATATTTACAAAATTAACACACCGTTTTTTACACGTTTCACAAGGCGCGCTTTAGGGGGCGCACATTACCCCACGTGGCATAAGGCACGCCATAGGGGCGTGCCTTTCTGCAAAGGGTGTTAGATCGAGAAATAAAGTTTGAACGGTGTCTGATAGGGAATAAAAAAAAGGTTAGGGTGATTTTTCAAGAAATTCGCCCAAGTTAGGAGGCAAATAATGACTCGACTGACATTCTTCAATGCATGAAACCTCATCTTTCCCGAACTTCCTCTTCAATTTACTGAGAACAAAAGTTGTCTGCATAAATGAAAAGGGCGACAAAACAGGCGATTTGACTAAACTGACACCTTTTTGCCGAAATTCTCTCTTTCTAACACCCTTTGACCAATATTTCCCGAAGTAGCACCCTTTCGGCTGAGGTGGCACAAAGGCGCATCTCCGGGGACGCGCTTTACCTGGGTTTATGCTGACTGTGATGCCACGCGTGTAAGGCGCATCCCCGGGGACGCACTTTCACAAGGTTCTGCTGAGTCGGATGCCACGTGGGTAAGATGCGTCCCTTCCATTAAATACCATAAATGCCCATCTGTTTCCCCCCCAACTACCCCTCCTCCTCCCCTATATAAACCCCCTCAACCCCCCTCATTCTTCACACCAAAATCATCTTCTCCTCTCTTATATAACTCAAATTCTCAAACTATTTGAGTTTTAAATTTCTTATTAGTGGTAGAAATTTATTTTTAAGTTAGTATTTTTTTAAATAGTTTTTATATTTTATAGTAATATAATTATATAAATAATATTTTTATTAAAATAATATTTATATAATTGTTATATATTTAAATTTATTAATTAATTATTTTTTGTGCTAATTATATTTTTTTGCCTACAGTTATAATGGAAAGTGAAATGCTGCTGCGATTGGATGCAAACCATGTCTCCAGACATTTTAGTGATATAGTACTATTTTTTTTATAATTAATGTTAATATTTATTATTTTTAATTTAAATTTATAATAAATTTATATTAATTATAAATTTTTATAATGCATATTATTTAGGAAACTGGTCTTATTTTAGAGACTTTTATTAAAAACCCATATATACCGACACCACAACATATTTTGTCATATTTGTCTTCTGCAGGGTTCGGGTATATTACAACAATTATTGACGGTTGCAAACTCGAACCTGTCCTAATTTCTACATTGATTGAGAGGTGGAGGCCCGATACACACACATTTCATCTTCCATGTCGAGAGGCTACAATTACATTGGAGGATGTCTCTATGCATCTAGGGCTTCCCGTCGATGAGAATATTATGTGTGGTATGGCGGATGGTGATTGGCAGTCAATGTGCATGTAGTATCTTAGAGCTGCTCCGCCAGAGTTTAATGGAGGTAGAATAGTTTTATCATGGTTGAAAGCTAATTTTAAAGTTCTGAATGAAAATGCTTCAGATGATGAAGTAAAGGCATATGCTCGGGATTATATTCTACGAATCATTGGAGGAATATTGATGCCCGACAAATCTCGCAACTAGGTGCATTATATGTTGTTGCGGCATCTGATTGATTTTGATGAAGTTGGAAGATATAGTTGGGGTGTTGCAGTTTTGACATTTCTCTTTAGAGAAATGTGTCGTGCGACAAATTATAAGAAAACTGCTATCGGTGGATGTCTCATGCTTCTGCAATCATGGGCGTGGTTCCGTATGCCTTTCTTATGCCCGATCGTCAATGAACCATACGTATTACCCTTATTATTGAGGTAATTTTCGAACTAAATTTTGATTTAAATATTTTTAATTAAATAGGGTGATATTTAGTTTATATTATATTTCATAGGTGGTCGATGAAAAGAAAAAACCATAGAGATATACCTACTGGACTAGAGGAAATTCGTTTACTTATTGATACAAAAGTTAAGTCTGAGGTATATTTTGAAATCTGTTTAAATATGTATATTTTAATTTAAAATGTTATATATAATTAGAATATTGTATTTATTTGAATTGTATATTTATACTTCAGTTTTAGTGGTACCTTATGCGAGCGATGAAGTAAAGGCTTGCATCCCACCCCACCTGAGTGGGCCATTAGAGGTTTGGATGTCAATTGTACCTCTTATATGTTATGCTATTATTGAGTGACATCCAGTTGATCGCGTGCTCCGTCAGTTTGGTTGTACGCAATATATTCCTGGAGCACCTAGGAATTTAGATGACATGCATAACATCGATAGACGAGGCAAGAAAGAGGTTAACTGGGTGGTGAGACACAGAGATTGGATTGTGCTTTGGGAGAACCGGTATGCACAGCTGGCCCCTCGACAATTTTACGTTGAAACTGGTCGTATGATTACGGATAACTATATGAACTGGTTTAATGAAAATGGAAAGCCATTTCGATTTTTGACGGAAGCACGAGGGGTTAACGTTCCTAGGCGTCGAGAGAGACGTCCACCGTCTCAATATCATCGTTCCCCGACTCGTGGACGAAGAGAAGGCACTACCAGTTCTGCATCAATCCCACCACAACATCCCTATCCACCGATGATGATGCCCAGCCCTCCAGTTCAGATGTCATCTCCTTAGGGGTATATGCCAAGCCCACCAGTTTATATGCCATCTCCGCAGGGTTACATTCCTAGCCCGCCAGGTTACATGCCTAGCCTGTAGGGTTTTATGACACCATATGGAGGTTCATATACGACTATGTTTAATGATCCATCATATGGTTCATATGCATCTTATTTGGCTAGTGGTCCTTCTCTACAAACACCTCAATCTCCATCTGGGTCACAGACATCGATGCCAATATTTTCACACTTTTCTCAATTTTCTATTAGCGGTGGGATTGTTAGTAGCACTCCTCCAGGGTCGTTATTTTATACAGGCCCATCAGCGTCATCTACAACACCAGCCGAAGAAAGTGCCGATGATGATGATGATAGTGAAGATGAGGAGACTGAAGGACAAGTTCCACGAATAAATCCTCAGCGAAATAGACAACCACCGCCATGTGGAACTCATTCGAGAAGACGAAATCGGTGATCCAGTTGTATTTTAATGTTATTTAAATAGTTATATTTCATAAATTTATATAATTTGGTTATGTTATTTAAA